AAATTCATTCAATTATTTGAGGTCCAATATCATGGACTCAGTTTTAGTAATAATTAAGAGAGAAAATTTGGATTAAATTCTAATTTTACATTATTATTTTTTTTTGGGAGAATTAGGCTTCGTTTGGGGCTGCTTTCAAAATTAAATTTTTAGTACAAATTTTTTTGGAACTAGAAATTTTTATATTAAAAAACTTCTTTAGAAAATAGTATGTGGTCACAAATGAAGCATTATGTTTTGTTTGTGACTACTTTTTTACTGCTTTCTAAAATAAATTTCTAATATAAATATTTTTTGAACTAAAAATTTTTGTAATAAAAAGCCGGTTTAGAAAGCATTAAGAAAGTTGTCCCAAACAAAACCTTAGACATGCTATGAAAATCATTTCTATTTAAAAAATTAATACTTGTCCCCAAAAAATGCATTTAGTAGGTCCTTGTATTTATTTGTGCCATAAATTAAAGCAAACAACAAAGGTTTGGATTTTTTTACTAAATTTTGTAAATGTATAGAAAAATTTTGATTATGTAAATATGTAATATTTAGATTTTACTTTAAAAAAATGTCCTTTTTTGTTATTTTGGGCTCATTATAATATAATCTTCATGATACATGAAAAAATATTGCCTTAAGAATATAAAGTAGATGTATTAGATTTGATTTATATTAAGAAAGGAAGTGTTAGAACTAAAAAGGCTTGGATAGAAAATATTAGAAATGATATTTATTTATTAGATTTAGAAGAGAATTTGACCCTTAATGAACACAATGGAGAAAGAGGATTTATGTAGCCATCCCACATATTAGGATAAAGACTTGCTCTTGCTGTATATATATATCAATATGCATCATATCAATAAAGTGATTAAGTACTTGATGTTGCCTTGGCAAATATACTAAATGAAGTGCTGATATTGATCATTAACAGCTATGTGATGTAGACATCTTTTTCTCTACTAATTTGTTATGATTAATTTGGTTAATCATCTTTGGCTTTATTTGAGACCGTTTTTTTATTGGTATAATAATTTTTTAAATTAGAAATTTTTGTATAAGAAAACGGCTTAATAAAGCAATAAAAAGTTGTCTCAAATTAAGTGGATAAATTCCCCAAAAAAAAAAAAAAATTAAGTGGATAGTTTTCTTAGTACTTTTTAAAGCAATTTTTAATGCAAAAAATTATTAAACTAAGGATTCATTTGGGACGGCTTTCTTAATGCTTCTTGAAGTAGCGTTAGTACAAAAATTAATTTTTTTATGCTATAAAGATGCTTTAAGAAGCCGTGAATAAGCCGTCTGAAACGAAGCCTAAGTTTTTTTGTAGTAGAAAGTTGCTTTAAAAACCAGTAAGAAAGATATCCCAAACAAAACCTTAGTTTGGGTCAATTTTTTTTTCTTTTTACAGGAGCTTTTTAGCAAAAAAATTTTATGAAACAAGCCAAAAAATAGTTATCAAAAGTTGTCCCAAAGGAAGCCTTTTAGGTTATGTTTGGGACAACTTTCTTACTATTTACTAAAGTAACTTACTAAAAAATTTTATACTAAAAAGTTATTTTGAAAAACAGTAACAAAGCTGTCTCAAACGAAATATTAGTTTACGTACCTAATTAAACTTCTAAAAGAGATTAATCACTTAAGGTTTCTTTGCTTGTTTTCCAAAAATAAATATTATATTTTTGAATTGTTGATTGGAAAGGACAAATTATGTTGAGCATCATAATATGATACCTTTATTATCTCTTTAAAAAAAAAAACATTTTTGTTGCTATATGCTTGTCTGAGATTTGATTCCATGGAGCTAATTATGTGTTCCAATTCTTTTGTTTTTCCTTATACCAACCATCAATATTTCAGGAAAAATAATTCGGATTAAATTTTAATAAATGGGCTTTTGCTTGAAGTAATGCCTATTTAGAAAGCGCACTGTATGGCTGACTATATACATAACTTGAAAGCTTAAGAAATTAATATACCTATTTTACATTGTATACGTTCGGTATGTAAGATCTTTGTGAACAAAGAAAGAGACAGAAAAATGTGTTTGGAGCAACCACTTCTGTATAATAATATTAATAATATATAATGCAACACTCACTTTATAAAAATCTTAGATAATATGTTGTTTAAATTTCATAGTTTTTCAAATTATATATCCACAGATATTTTATTATTCATAAGAGGGGTTTCAGCTTTTGGTCATAATAGAGAGAAATTTTCATGATAGAAAACAGAGAAAAAAAAAAAAACAGAATTTCTTATAATAAATTTAGACAACATATTATCTAAGATAAAACGCTAAGCAGGAAAGCATTTTTCGTTTTTCTCTTCGTTGCGAGCAATGTGACGTCAATATTGAAGTCACACTATTCAAAACATGAAAATAATGTTCGATTTGTCGTTCGGTTGGATGCATGCTCATATATGACTACAACAAACCGGAGAATGTCGTTCCGTTTGAGATGGCCTGAACATATCTTGATCTAACATTAAGGATCTATTTGGAACGATTATAACTTTTTCTAAAGTTCACTGCAAAGTTGTGGGGAAAGTAATTTTTTTTAAAAGCAATTTTTGAAAATAACTAAAAAATAATAGCCATATGAAAACTCTGGTTGCCGTCTGAAGTAATAAAGTTGCTCAAACAAATCCTAAGAAATAAAAAATTGTATTCATAAAGTTTATTTAAAAAAAATTATTTTTCATACTTTTTTACAATGCAAGAAAATTCGACTAATTATACTTCTTGCCATGATGAAAATATCCTTATAATTGTATTAATATCAAAATATTCTGATAATTTTTTTTTTAAATGCAGAATGCAAGAAAAAATAGCCTATTCTTCAACAATTTGAGAGCTCTGAAATATTTAAATAGTGAACGCATTTACCAAAGAGTTTGGGATTTAACATAAAAAATCAACCTAACAATATTAAAAGAGATGTGGCTGATGATGCAGAACCAGTTAGGTCCAAACAGATATATTATGTTAATATCGCACGAATTCATAGCCTATTGATTGCAAAGCAACACAATCATCAACTAAATAAATTTATAAAACGTACAATACTTTAATTCGAGTTAATTATGATGTCGAACACGATCAAATTAAATATCAAAAACTTTGTGGCAAGCTTAGCCTAAAATAATGGTATGTATCCAATTGTTTGTCTTCTTTTGGGACATTTTTCTTCTTGCTTTCTGCGGTTGATTTATATAGCTATGAAATTTCTTAAAAATAGCAAAAAAATTGTGGCCAAAAGTTATCCCAAACGAAGCCTTAAGATAAAGTTATTTATGGATAACTTTTAATTTTAAGATAAACAAATCTATATGAGATTGATTACTTAGGCTTCCTTTGGGACGACTTTCTTACTGCTTCTTAAAGCAACTTTTTAGTACAAAAATTTTGATTTTTGTCTTAGAAAGCTGCTTTAGGCTTCGTTTGGGATTACTTTCTTATTATTTTTTAAAGCAACTTTTTAGTAAAAAAAATTTTTTGAACTATAAATTTTTGTACTAAAAAACTGCTTTATAAAGCATTAAAAAAGCCGCCCCAAACAAAGCCTTAATCACTTGTGAAAACTTAGGCTTCGTTTTGAGAAGCAATTAAAAATTGGGATTTTTACATACATAACACTTCAAACTATTACAAATACATATTCAACATCTAAACTTTTATATTTACTAATATACCACCTAAAATCCACATCTTTCACTATTCTAGTTAAAAATCCCTACCAGCCTCGTGTCTTGCGTCTTCCCTTCGACCCGCCTTCTCCATCGCTTAAGTTGGCGATGTTGGAGAACGACGAGTGCATTTCTTGATCTGATCGAGAATGACGTTGAGGACAATGATGGCAATGGTGTGGATTGGATGTCATGCTTTCCACGAGGGAAGACATGCTTCGAGTCCCTGGTGTTCGACTGTTGTACGCTAACTCACCTTATCACTTGCTCCTTCTCCTCCTCAAAGGAGAAGATGATTTCAAGGCCTCTGTCTAATCATCCTTTATGGCTTCCAAATCCCTGGCATGCATAACCAGTTTTTGATATCTCGCTCCGGAGTACCTGCCCTCAATTTACACAGTCTGCGCCAACCATATTATGCAGAGAAAAATGTAAACATCACCAATTGTGACTTTCAACCTCAGCTACATAGAGCATAGAAAACTCTGTTCAAGAAATCTATGATTCAAGAAAAAAAAAAAACTACTCTTCAGTCCAAAGTATGCTACGATCTCTCTGTTTGACAAATAGGGGCATAGAAAATCAATGATGCGTTTAAATTAATCTTTATTTGCAACTAATCAATTAATTCCCGGTACTGATTGTCACTAAAAGAAATCAATTAGTTCCCAATCATGAAATCTACCTATCCAATTCAATTAAAAAAGTCATATGAGAAAATAATGTAATAAAACGAGACACAAAAATTTTCTATCAACGGAAATTCAAGTTTCCCACAAGAGAAAATAAAGCAAGCTATTGAAAAAAAAAAAAAAAAAAAAAAAAAAAAAAAAAAAAAACAATAAGAAAATTCTCAACAATCAGTGTTCAACAATGTCAAAAAAAAAAAAAGAATACTTAACCACACTGAGATAAAACAGCACTTAATTCTAAAAGAAACATTCGCTCAAATCCTTCTTAAGTTACAAGACACTGCAATGACAACTAAGGGTGCGTTTGGGACGGCTGCAGCTGTCAGTAAAGTAGGTTGTGAAATTGTTGTACATAAAGTTGCTTCCTGAAGTTGCTTTATATAAATAATTATATTTTGTTTGGATAGCGTAACTGTAGAACTGCTGTGCTGCAGCTGTATGTGAATAATTTACATTCATATCCTTATATATATTTAGATGAAATATATAATTTTTTAAAATTTAATTATTTTTAAATGTATATGATAATCAACTATTAAACCCTAAACAAGCTGAATCCATTAGAGTAGAAGATAAAAAGCATCGGCGAACAAACAGAGACAAATTAAACCCTAACAAAACCTAATTAAAATTTCCTGCAAAAACGCTTGACTTCCTGCTTATTGACTTCTCCTTCACGTATCCTTCCTCCCGGCTCCTCCTGTTCCCCAACGAAGAAATCCTCGCAGACAAAGAGCGGCCGAAGAAGGACGGCCACCCGTCCGACCGCCCGAGATGAATAGTCCGGCCCCTTCGGCTGCTTCCTTCCCCAGCTCCCCTCGAAATCTTCCTCGTACTGGACTCGCCGGCACCACCCCCAGTCACCGTCACCGCGAAGGTTCTCGACCTGTGCAGCTTCCCAGCGGCGATGATCTCCTTCCTCATGTTCTCCGGCAGCCGCAACGTGAAACGATCGAGACCCGCCTCTCCTTGCGGCATCATCGAGTGCCCAGTCGAGTGCGACCTCGAAATCCTCTTGGATCGCCTCGGCCCATTCGCCCTCACCTTGCTCGCGATCCTCGCGAGCTCTCGCATCTCCTCTTTCCTCTCATTCATATCATCCACCGTGATCACCACATGATCCGCCGGCGGAGCGTCGGGAGGTAAAGCTGATGCCGGAGGCGCTGGCGCAAGCATTGCCGGAGGCGCTGGCGCAAGCATTGCCCCATCGTTTCGCGCGGGAATTCTGGATGCACGATCGGGAGAATAGAAGGTGTAATTAGCGCGGCAAACAGGGCAAGTGACGTGGGTTTCGAGCCAGGCGTCTACACACTCCTGATGGAAAACGTGGTCGCACTCGGGGAGGAGGCGGATGGTCTCGTCATCCTCGAATTCGTTGAGGCAGATTGCACACTCGAGCGCGCCCTTTCCGATTTTGTGCTCCTTCACTTCTGAATACACCAGCGTCGGGAAGTTCTCGAGAACCTCGGGATCAAGCCCTCGCTGAAACCTTATGCGGCCGGCAACGACGAAGGGGAGATCAGTTCCTCCATTTGAAAGGGATTGGAAGGGGATTTTCGTCATTTTTTTCCGGAAAGCAGCGGACTGCAACGGACCGCGGGAGAGAGTGTAAGGTCGCGGGAAGCAATTGCACGCCGCGAAATTTTTCTGCCGCCGTTCTGCCGCGATGCCCCAAACAACAATTTCATAACTTTTTATAAAGTAAAGCAAGAGTGCCGCCGTCCCAAACGAGCCCTAAGCTACTAAATTTTTCATATTAATCC